CTGCAAGGGAAAAGGTCATATATAGTAATAACCGTAGAAATAATTTTATTCAAATACATATACACTAATACTGCTAAAGGTTAGAGATCTATACAGGTTATGTTACACTGAGGCCACATATAAAAATGTATATACACAGTTACAATAATCACAAGAAAAGGCAAATAGTAGATAAGGAATAAAACTTTTCTGTCGGCTATTTTCAACCCAGAATTTCTGACACTAGATTGCATTTCTTGTGTTCTGTTTGTGATATTGTTCGTTCTCACATTCTCTCCCCTTTTATCTTTCTCTCTTTCATTATCCTTTTGCTTCCCCTTCCCCTTCTCTAACTTTTTCGTTTCTTTATCCCTCCCCTTTCTTCTCTCGTTCTCTTTCTCCTCCCTCTTTTATCGTCTCTTCCCCTCCTCCTTCTCCTCTCAGTATAAACACAAAGACCATCCCCTTCATGCCCTTCAATCATTATTTTTTCCAAAGCCTTTTCAAAACCTGCATGAATTTTAAAAAATGGCGCCACTTGTTTCAAACTTCCGCGATCGTTAACGGACAAAACAATCGCTAATCGCCGTTCCCGGCTTAATGGGTCGTAGAGCGGAGATGGCGACGGGGAGAAAATCCTTTCTTATAGACGGTGTAAACTCCCTTTTATCGGATTACGGACCTCTCGGCGATAGTGGGGAGAGTGGGGTGGAGGGGGTAAGTGGGGTTATACGACGAAAGCGTTTTTGGACCGTAGCGCTGTGGCTGCTCGGGTTTCGGAGGCGGGGCTTTGGGACTGTAAGTTGTTTATAGTTAAGCGTAGTTGCGTACAGTGGGTTGGGTTGAGCTAAATGGGTTGACAGCCACGAGGACGACGCAGATGGCGTATGAGTAATCGGGCAGGCAAATAACTCATGCGTACTGACTGACGCACATACATACACTCACATAAATCGACATACGGAAGAAAATATGACAATAACCATTTAAAATCGAGAGAAGGAATATGGAGGAGAGAGGAGAGAGTGAGAGAAAGGAAGAGAGGAGTGAGAGAGGAAGAGAGAGAGAGAGAAAAAGAGAGAGAGAGGGAGAAGAGAGAGAGAGGGAGGGAGAGAGAGAGAGAGAAAAAAGAGGGAGAGACAGGAAGAGATAAATAGAGAGAGAGAAAGAAAAGAAATGAATGAAAAAGAAAAGAAGAGAGCGAGAGCGCAGGCGGCGCACCTGTCCCGCCGAGACGCTCCTCCGTTCACAGGACTTGCCAAACAAACCTATGAATCACCGCTCCTTCGAACCTGCTCCGCGCTGCGCAGGGACTTGACACCCTCCCTCTCACCACACACACACACACACACACACACACACACACACACACACACACACACACACACACACACACACACACACACACACACACTCCTCTCTCTCTCTCTCTCTCCTCTCTCTCTCTCTCTCTCTCTCTCTCTCTCTCTCTCTCTCTCTCTCTCTCTCTCTCTCTCTCTCTCTCTCTCTTCTCTCTATCTATCTCTCTCATCACCATAATTTTATCATTGCCAGTAGTGGTAGAATATCATCCGCATTATAAACATCAAAGCATGCCTATATTCAATATCATTACTGTTATTAATATCACTCTTTTATTTAGTTTCGTTTTCACTGCTATTCCCTTTCTTGATTTCCGAGCGTAAAGTAATACCTCTGAGTTCCCAGTCAATTTTCCAAACGTCTCCTTTTTCTTGATTTAGAATATGTTTTTCTTTCTTTCTTTCTTCTCGAATTCCCTCTTAGCAAAGTCTAATTGCTATTACAAAAGCCAACTCATAATACAAAGTCAGTCAGTCTCTCTCTCTCCCTCTCCCTCTCTCCATATAAGAATATCAACCTGTGACAAGGCAGATAAGTTAGCAAAACAAGTATCTGTCAGTCAAATGAAAAATCAGCTGTCTTCGAGAGTGTGAGGGCCAGGTATGGACCAAAAAAAAAATAAGAAAAGTGGACATGTTACCATCTGGTATTACGAAAGTATTATCGGGACATGTGATACTATACCATATAAAGTCCACGATAGACTGTCTCGGAGACAGCAGGTTACGCTAACCAGGCTACGCACAGGATATCAATACACTATACATTATGTACTGGATGCAGTTACATATCACCACTGCTAAATGTGCAAGGTCGCCCAAGCGCATAGTCTTACACATTCTTACTTTGTTGCTCAAAAACTGCATCCCATCGTCAATATAAGACTGTCCAGACACCAGCACTTATTGATTATATTAATTTTATCATAGACATTGGTCTTGTCTTCGATATGATTAGGATATGAAAGGTTTTTTACCAACTAGATGACATGTTGAATAATATAACATAATGATACAGCTCTTCAGGATAGAACTAATGTTTGACTAATAGCAGTCTTTACATAAATATAAGCATAGCCAGTTGGATTGATAGATGCTACATCTTTACCCTGGCCTTTTACAGGCATGTCCACTGTTCTGTAATAAATCTTATCAAATCAAATCTCTCTCTCGTCTCCATCTCTCTCTCTCTCTCTCTCTCAATCTCTCTCTCTCTCTCTTCTCCTCTCTTCTCTCTCTCTCTCTCTCTCTCTCTCTCCACACACACGACACACACACACACACACACACACCTAACGCTGCCCTATACCAAATTTACCATATCAATCAAATGCACACTTTATACGACAGTAGACGATCCGTGCCTTCACCATACAATATCTCAACAATTACCCTCCCACACAATCACCGCACACAACACCGCCTCTATCCCCTCCTTCACTATCCTTCTCACCATCACCAACGCAATCCCCATCAACACACCACTATCACCAGCACAACCACTATCGCCAACACCAAATACCACACACGCCAGCGTCCTCACATTCCTCCCCCCACACCAAACAGAAGACCACCGCCATATCTCACTCTTCCATTACCATCCCTCGTGCCGCCAACCATTATAGAATCTTCGCCCACATCACACGTGAGCCACCAAGCGCACCCACACCCATCGTTCTGCTGACACTTGATTCCAATTCCGATGCGAAGTAAGGACTAATGATACACATTATCTCTTTTGCCTTTCAGTTAATATGACATTTGTTTATCGCGTGGTTTCAATTGATCAAAATCCTCGGTCTTACTTCCGCCGAATCGTTGACTGTCATTAGCTGAGAGGAGCTTGCTTCCTGCGCCCGATGGAGAAGAGTGAGGGCGGAACGGGCAGGAGGAGTGAGGAATAAAACACGAAAGAGGGAAGGGAGGAGGTGAGGTAGGAGAGAAGGGAAGGGTTAAGAAGAGGAGGGAGATGTAGGTAGGATGGGTAGTTATGGAATGGATGGGAGGGAGGGGAGAGGCGACAAGGATAAGGAGATAAGGGGAAAGAGAGACGAAGTGAAAGGATGCATAAAAGAGGACATGGGAAGGAAAGGATGAGGATGGAGTAATGGAGGAAGGGGGAAGGGGAAAGTTAGAAGGGAGGGAAGAGAGGAGAGAAGGTGAGAAGAGAGAGAGAGAGGAGGAGAGTGAGAGAGAGAGACGAGACCCACGAGAGAGTATGAGAAGAGCGGATCACAGGAGAAGTAAGAGAAGAGAGAGATAGTGAGGACGAAGAGTAGCTAGAGGAGGCAACCGGTGAGGACGGGGAAAAGAGAGGAGAAGAGAGAAAGAAGAGATGAAGGGGAAGCGCGATATCGCGCCGCCATAGGAGAATAGGAAGACAGGAAATGACAACCGAAGAGGTGTCGATTACCTGCATATGGAACGCTCTTAAGACGAGAAGATGAGAAGACTGGAGAATGAAGAAGAGATAAGGCTGAGCTGCGACGAGATCAGAGAAGATGTTTCTTGCCTTCCTAATTCAAGAGATGAGAGAAAATCCCGGGGTGGAGTAGAGGACCGATGCCACAACACCGAGATGGACTTTAGATCATCGGAGGGTATAGGATGAGAGAGACTGTCCCGAGGTAGGCCAGGGAGAGAGGGAGGGAGAGGAGTGGTAGGGAGAGCGAGTAGAGAGGAAGATGAGAAAAAAGAAAGAGAGATGAGAGAGAGAGCAATGAGAGACGAAGAAGGTGAGAGAGAGAGAGAGACGCATGACGACGAAAAAAGAGAAGGTGAGAGAAGCAGAGTAGCAGTGAGAGAGGACGACAGAGTGCGAGACGAGAAGACAGTAGGAGATGAGAGACACAGAGAGAGAGAGACAGATGGAGAGAAGAGAGAGAGAGAGCAGAGGAGGAGAGAGACAAGAGGAGGAGAGAGACAGAGTAGAAGTAGACAAGAAAGAAGAGAGAGAACGACGAGAGAGAAAGAGAGAGAGAGAGAGAGAGGAGCCGAGAGAGAAGGATAAAAAGAGAGATGAGAGAGAGAGATGAGAGAGAGGAGAGGAACGAGAGAAGAGAGAGAGCGAGAGAGAGAGAGAGAGAGAGACAGACAGACAGAGAATTAGTGAGAATGAGAGAGAGAGAGAACAGAATAACAGAGGTACAAGAAAATACAGACCCCAGCGCCCCCAGAGGAGACGAGGCGATTTGCCCCCAAAACGAAACCTCGCCACCAAACCCCACAGGACCCCGCCGACGTGCATCCCCCCCGACAGACCGACAGCCGATCCCCCGACGTGCATCCCACCCGACACGCCGACAGCCGATCCCCGACGAGAGCCCGACATCCCGGAGAAAGTTCCTCTTGCAGCTTGTGGTAAGACAAAGGAGACATATTTATGGCGTCTGGGCGAGCTGCGGTCCGGACACATACCCGCCATGTTTACCTGCCCAACTCACAGCTATTAGGACCTTATTATTGTCAATATATCTGCGTTTTTATCTTGGCTTGACTTGACTTGACGTAGGGGACTGTGTGACTGCATGTCTGTGTATATGTAATGTTTGTTTGTGTATGTATGTTGCGTATGTGTATGTATGTTGTATGTTTATGTGTGTATGTATGGATAAATGTATATGTCTGTAGGTAGGTGTATATGCATGTATGTGGATATGT